GTAACCTAAATTAATATATATAAGTATTCGAGTAACAATTTTATTGTAACACTCTAGAAAAAAAAAAATCTTTTTTCTTTATTTCTCTCTCTTCACTCGGGTGACGGATTGTTCGCTCGAGCGATCTAGCAGGGCATCCAGTACTTTTGCAGGTCTCGGATTCTGGGAGACGTTGGAGTTCGCTTGAGCACAAGATTGGTCGCTCGAGCGGTCTGCCTTTGTTTAGTCTGAACTTCTGGAAGCTTGCGATCTGCGCTCGAGCGACAGTTTCATCGCTTGAGCGGTCTATTCGGGTTCAACTAGTATAAAAGTCACTTTTTGCTCATTTTCTCTCATTTTTCTCCTTTTTCTCTCACTCCCCTCTTCATGTCCGAAAACCCTAGCCACAAAACTTTTGATTTCACCTTATTACACCAAGGATCCACCTTACATCATGCAAAAGTAGTGAAGAAGGATGTGAAGATCTTTCTCTTGACCGATTGGATTGCGTATTTGTCGGAGTTCTTGTTTGGTCTTCCTTGTTAGCTCTCATCCTTGAAGTAGGGAGTTCTCTTAACCGTAAATCTTTATGATTAAATGTGATTTTGTGACATGTTGGGGTTTTGAGTTGATTATGGGTTAGAAAACTTTAATGGCAAGTTGTTTGTGTACAAATGGGGTTTTCACTCAAATTTTTAAAATGTGTTAAATGTTTTGGTACATTGATGGATAATAATTGGTGATTTGAGGATTTAACAAAGAAATAAGGAAAACCCCAAATTTTCTTGAAAACCCTATATTTGAGATTTTTAAATTAAAAGAGGGTTTGAGCTAATTGGTTCCTTGTGTTGAAAATTAAATTGATTTTACATGTTGATAAGGGTGTTGGATCAATTTATTATCTATGATGATAGTATTGGTGATTTAAATAAGTTGCATTGTGTGAATACTTGGTATGTTGAAAGGATGCAAAATAATATCTTGCTTAGGATTGCCGTTGGTAATGAGAAAATTCATGAAAATAGAGAACGTTTCGCTGGTTCTACTTGTTAATTTTTGTGCAACTAAATTATGTTTTAGGTAAATTAGAATATTTGAAAACTCATGCATGTCATTGCATTCACATGATTTTTGGTTTAAATGTAGAGTAATTTAAAGGTATGCGTGGTTTCAGAAGTGCGTTGTGTGTGTTGAGGTGCCCAATTGCCCTTCCGTGCTCGGTGGTCGGAAAATGTGGGGATGTCATTGGTATTTTGGTAAAGGTGCCGAATTGTCCTTCCGTGCTAAGCGCCGGTAAATGTGGGGGAAATGTTGAAATGATTGATAGGTATCCAATTGCCCCTCCATGCTCAATGGCGAGAAAATGTGGAGATATTTTAAAATTGAAACAGGTGTCTAATTGTCCCTCCGTGCTTGGTGGCCAGTAAATGTGGAGGTTTTCAAAAAGTAAGAGGTGCCCACTTGCCCTACTGTGCTTGGTGGCCTGTAAATGTGGGAAGTCTTTTGAGGTACCTTATGTTGGGGTTATTATAAAATGAAAGTTCTTGGTTGTGACAATATTCATGTGTTGGGTCAAACATGGGTTACAAAATTATGCATTTCACAAGTTAGCTTCCAACAAAGCTAAGACGCATGCATGGAATGGCATCACATGAGCAAAATTGTATTACACATTCATGCATGTTGTTAAGTTTACTTCCTACTGGGCGTAAAAGCTCAATCCCTTTTTATGGGCTGGACATCCTAAAATTCCAAGTGATGAAGGTGAATCATAATAATTGTGAGAAGTGAATGGAGTTCAACATGGAGCGCTGAAGCTTCTTAGATGTTGTTTGACTACAGCTATCGAGCTTATTTGTCGAGTTAAGATTTTATCTGTTGAAATCAAGGCCCATAGTCTTGAAAGGTCTGCCCTTTTGGCAATTTGGATGTATTTAATTTTATTTTTATTTTTTTTATATATGTACTTCTGTGTCTTGTAAAGCGTTATAAGAACTTAGAAGAGGAATGTATAAGAATGCGATGAATTTCAGTTTATAAAATTCTTTACTTTCATTTATTGTTCACATGAGTGCCCTGAAATTTGACTATAATAATGGATTGGTAATAAAGGTTTTGGTATGATTATTGGGGCGTTATATTTATAGAATGATAGTGCCAGTATTATCAAAATAAATAATTAAAATCATGCTTTAATTTTAATTTTAATTAAAAATTAAAATTATTCTTTTATAACACACATTGTACCATCAAATATTTATGTTAGTAATGGGCGTCCATGTGGCATGACCATTTGAAATTTGAATTTGAACTTTATCCAAATAGGTTTTGAAATTGAATTCAAACCTATTTAGGATAACCACTCAAGATATAGATATTATCAGTTTTAACTGATATGGATAGATATAATAATATATTAGATATTATCAGTTTTAACTGATATAGATAGATATAATAATATATTATATATCTGATATATGGTTATGGGTAATTAAGATAGAAACAACGTATGATCTGTTTCTACCCATATACTGACTCTCTCCCACAAAACAACGATCAAGTCTTTTGCACTGTGATTAGCGTGGGTGATATTCAATCTGTGATATCACTCCACTGCTGGGTTGGTTTATCAGTTTTCTGAAGCACGTGATTTATCCAAGAGGTTCTATCATTGAAAGGTATGATCTGATTATTTTATCCGCTGCATATTTTAATATGTTTTAATTTACAATTTAAAAAAAAATAAATAGCAAGTGCATTACACGGGTCAACTGCTAATTTATTGTTATTTCATAATAAACTTACCAGTGTTTGAAAACGTTCAAAATCTTTGCAATGCCACGTTTTTTTTCAAAAACGAGGGTTATAAGCACCACTGATATGCACAAGTTAGTGTTTTGTTTAGGATTTAAGTTTTCAGACTTTAAGATTTAGGGTTTTCAATTTTTATTTGTTTTTAATGATTTTTTTTTTAATATTTTGGGTGAAGCTTATACCTTGATTAGATGTGTCTAATCATCTGCAAAACGGAATCCAAAACAATCCAAAATTAGTGAAAATCCGATTACCCAACTCAAATTAAGTTAGGTCGTGGCATAAAATTTTATAAAATAATGTGACAAAATTTTATTACTTTTTTAATTTATTACAGTAGAAAATTTCAAAAAATTTATAATTTTTTATCTACATCTTTATTTTCATAAAATTTATATTTTTGAAATCGTTTTATCAAAATCTATAAAACAAGATTCATGATAAATACAAAATTAAAAATAAAATAAAATAAAATTTCACTGACCTAAGACAGGTTGGTTAGTGAAATTTCGATGACCAAGCTAGGAATATTCTGAAAACTAAAAAAGGGATCGGGTTGAGGATTACTGATTCAACAGTTAGATCAATCAGAATTGAATTGTGACGTCATAATTATTTTTTAAGATATAAAGAAGTGGGTTGATGTAGTGCTAAATGATTGGAATTCATTGCTATTTTTTAAGATATGTATCTATTTATTAAATATAATTATTTATATATTGATTGTTTGTAACAAAATCTGATTACACTTGTTATAAAAAAATTAGAAAGAATGTAATAAAAATAGAAAGTGTAGGAACTAGCAACAAAAAAGTAGGTTGACGTAGTGCTAAATGGTTGGAATTCATTGCGTGAGCTCCAGAGTTCGAACCTTTCTGTTTTTTAATGTCATGCGTGAGCTCCAGAGTTCGAGCCTTTTTTTTCAATGCCATGCGTGAGCTCCAGAGTTCGACCCTTTGCAAGCTTGCTTTTTTTCAATGCCATGCGTGTGGGTGTTTTCGGTTTTCAATGAACCGGATATTGAGTCGAATGAATATTCTATTCAACTGTAGTTTCTTCCTGTTCTGGAAAAATAAGTCGGGTTTAATGGGTAATTTTGACCGGTCAATCAGCGGTTTAATTTTCAAAACATAACTAGTCTAAGCCAGTGAAATTTTATAAATTTTTTTAAAAATAATTTCATATTATTGAATAGGATTTTATAAATATCTTGTCAATAGGATTTTAAAAATATAAATTTTACAAAAATAGAAAATTAAATTAAAATTTTGAAATTGCTTAAAGAATGTAAAAAATAAGATGAAGGACCTAAACTACTAAAAGAATAACACTGAGAAATCTTAAGATGAAGGACCCAATTTAGGACCCAATTTAGGATGAAGGACCCAATTTAGGCTAAAATTCACAAAAAGATAAAATAGGCTAAAATAGTTAATAAGACAAAATATCACATCAAACCCATAATCATTTCACTTTTTCTCTCACAAACATCACATTTTCTATTAATTCTTTCTCCTTTTCCTTTCATTTCCATTTCCCTTTCCATTTCCCTTCCCAAATCCCCCAACCAAACACAACGTAAAAGAATAACACTGAGAAATCTTAACCAGGAAATGACATTATCTTGAACTTTTCTTACTACCCAAATTATATAAAGTACGCATTGCTAATTTTCCTTTGTTTTTTTTCTTTAAAGGTTCAAAATATAAATTTTATATCTAACTTATTCCCGAGTGTAGGAAAGGGAAGCTGCTAGCCACAACTGTGAGATGAACCCGCAATGAGGAGCAAATTGTTCAGATATAAGATAAAGTGGAAATTACTATTTAGCTTAGTTTTCAGAAAAAACTATTATATCAAGGTGATATTATAATTATAATTATTAATATTTATAATATTTATCATTTTTTAAAAATATTTTTCCTAATCATCATTGATACGTAATTCCCCTAAGATAAAAAAAGCACTAACACCCAATCTTGCCTCTAATGATGGTTGGACTCCCAACCTCACTCACACGAGACATGGGGAGATGCCACTAGGTTAAAATCTTGTTGGCTAATTTTAAACCTAAATGGCATCGAGCTTAAAGAGAGATAAACAATGGCAACTTTCGATTTCTGTAATCAATGAAAAATAAATTTATCTAGACTAAAAATATTTTTATTTTTGAAAAGCGAAAAATATTTTTTTAAAGTTTTACCATCTCCGCTGCCACCACAAGTACAAACAGTAAATATAAATAAAAAAAAAATTACAAAAATATTTCCCGCAAGAAAATGTCTTCCCCCAAGAGAAACAAAAATTAAATTGTACTGTGCTACCCAGTTCCCCTCCAGAAATACATCCAGGCATTTTCCAGGATGATAAAAAAAGCTTGCTGCAGTTTAGATAATACAGAGGAACTCAACAGGGGAGAATTTATACAACCAAACTATGTACTCTTCAACTACATAGAAAGAATTGCTCTTAAGGTTTACAGCGAGCCCACCTTTTCATTTCCTCCTCCTTCTTCCTTTCTTTTGTCTACCACGAAAGTAAATGATGACAATATAGCACTCACCGTGTTTTTTGGCTTCAAGAGGTTGCAATTTCCTTCACCATCTACAAAGGCATCAATCTTTTATACTTGAAAAAACACAAAAATGAACAAAATATGACAAAAGCGATTACTCCTGTGATTATTAGGACCCACTTGAATGCACCTTCGTCATCAAACAATGCTATTGGAAAATTCATACCAAATACACCCGCCACGACGCCACATATGGCAACCACAAATGTTGCAGTTGTAAGCAACAGCTCGAATTGGATAAGCTGGTTTCGGACATTATCCTGAAAAACAAGAAATAACAATCAATCTTCAAAGTTCAAATGCTCCTTTAAAATTTCGGCAAAATTCAAGAACATGAAGGGGAAGATTATAAGCCAATGTTTTCTGTTATGGATACTTGAAAAACCAAATAGCATCCTATTTTGACAATCATTCATCTACTTTTATTGTTAATTATAGCTTGAAAGCCAAATGCTATTAACTACTAGGATATTTAAGTTTAAAATGTCATTTTGGTTTGGTTTCCATCCGGTAAACCAAAATTTCAAAAAGGGCCACTTTTTTGCTATTTGGTTTCAACTAATTTAGCTGACAATTGAAAAAAAAAAAAAAAAATCAACTTTTTTAATAGGATATATCTTGTTTGGCAACTGCGAAAAACAATTTTTTTTCCCCTTTTTTTTGTTTTTTAAACTTATATTGTTTTTAGTGAATTTTCTTTCAATTTTTATTAAATTTTTTTACTTCTCAAGTCTTTTTAGTCTAGAAGGATCTAAAAAAAAATTCACTAAAAACAAATAAAAATTCCGAAACCCTACCCAAACTTCCCCAATAATAATAAGGACAATGTTTGAGATCCCAAAAAGAGCTCCCTTAATTTGTCCCACAATGATATAGCATGATAGGTGTCACACTCAATTATATAAGGCCCCACTACCTTGTCACGTCATTGTAGGTGAATTTATGACTAAATTGTAACTCAAACACTTTTCAAAATGCATCAACTTTTTTAGCAACAACTTTACTCTTGAAAAATAATAATAATAAAAATAAAAATAAAAAACATTGCCAAACTAGCACTCCATCATAATAACTAGCTATGTTACATAGACTCTTCAAAATAAATCAAATATTCATGTCGGAGACCCAATATTTCGACAAGATTTTGGGATGTGTCTAATACTTTTCATCGAACATTATATATATATATATGTATTTAACATTATCATTATATATATATATATTGTACACCATTTTATCTCACATAATATATTATAAATATATAACTATGACAAATTTTTGCCGAGTCTACTGCCACTCAAATTTGAGGTTTGATAGGTCCGACCACTAGATACGCACCCGTAACCGAGTCTATGTAACATAGATAACTAGCAAAGCTTCCACACGACACCAGGTTTGTCTTTAGTTAAATTTACTCAAGAATGGAACAAATTGCACTCTACAGTTAGTTCAATCATGTTTAAGCTGAGATAAGGACTCGTACCAGCTGAATATTGATGAAATCTTCTGTGTCATCAATGTACTCCTTCAGCTGGAATAAAGGGAAATAACCAATTGATAAACTGTTTCCGCTCCTAATTAAACGAATATAAGAAGACAAGCATGGCGAGCATTGTACATACCGATGTCAGCTTATTAAGGGTGCTATCAATGACAACAAAATATGCCTCCAACAACATCTCCAGTTCTTCAATGTTCTCTGTAGCACTTTCTGAACTCCTCATGCTCTCATGTCGGCTCCTGGCAATGCTCAAGTTTTTCTCGAGCTTCCTACCCTCGGGGGGTGAGGAAACGGGAGAAATTGGTGCAGAAACAGACAGCACACCATCAGTTGATCTGTATCCCATCAAAGATTGATCACCATAGAACGATGACTCCATCCTCTTTTTCTTTTCAGTGAGATACATTTCAGCCATATCTCCATCATCATCCATTAGCTGCTCTATCTCATCTCTAACCTATATGAAAGAGAGTGAAAATGGAAAGGGGGCACAGTGGGTGTGTGGGGATCAGATCTTCAACATTTGCGGACAGAAAATGGATAAATCAATTAGAAAATTACAAAACCTTCTGAACTCGTCTAGTTAAGGCAACAAGTCTGCTTTTTAGTCGACGCACACGTTCCAAGTTTAGGGTACTGATCTTTGATGTAAGTTCATCTAACAATGGATATGCTTCAATTTCTAATTCAGCTGCCTGATTAACTCAGAAATTTATAATAAAAAAAAAAAATGAGTAACCAAATTGTCACTGAGAGAGAATGCAAGCATAAAACAGTAATATGTTCATAGTAGAAAAGAAACTAGCAATCCAATCAGTTTCAGGTAAACAACACCCCCCCCACCCCCCCCCCCCCCCCAACACACAAACCAACAGACCTCGAAAATTAACTTACATCTAACACCCCCCAGCCCCCAAAACAAAATAGATAGAAAAATTCTAAGAGCACATAATCTGATCACGGATTTGGACACAACCCTCTATAGAAGAACCAAAATATATAAAAGAAAGAAAGGAAAGGGGGAAAAAAAAAAGGGACCAGTGCCATAGTTTATTATATTCAGGTCAAGTTTTAAACATGCATATTTACTTAAAATTTGTCCCGACAGTAGACACTAGCATTATATTACATCTACCGGCCTAGATATTCACTTAACCTCTCAATAATTCAAAGACATAAGATGACAATTTTCTTCAAGGCTATTGTCCTACAAAAAATTACCAAGCTTTCAAGCCCATTAGGAACTCTGTCATATCACAACTTCCATTGATTCAAACAGTTGGTATTCATCAATTTTTAAATATATGTGTTCTGCAATTTGGTGGTTCTCTTCTGGTACGCACCTGAGAATCAAGAAATGTACAAGCAGCCTCCAGAGCTATTTCAAGAGCTCTAAACTCAAACGGCAAGTAATCAGGCGACATGTTACCAAACATATCATCAAAATTCCTCTTTCCTCTTCTTCTGCTTGAGTCATTACCTTCTGACTGCCAAACCTCACCTACCCCTGCAGTTGTCAATCGCCGTTGTAGCTCAACTACATAGTGCAATACATAGCTATCAAGGGAATTCAAAAGCAGAACCTCATCAGCTGTGATAATACACCGAATCTGCTCCAGATTTACAACAATGGCCTTCTCTCTGCCAAGGATTGTTGAGGGGTAAACAAATAATGGATCAAGCAAGCGTAGATCACGGGCAGGAAGATCACAACGACGCATTATAGTGAACTTGTCAACCTCAATGACTTGGGAGTTCCCAGACGTATCAACACGAATCCATGATCGAAGGCTTTGGCCACGCTTTTTCAAGCCTAGAACATCCACACCTTGAAAAGGTTGACGCCCAGAGGCAGAAGGCCGATAAGATTGGTCTCTAAGATTTACAGCTGATGCAGGTTTCGGTGGGAGCAGGCGTTCTTTGAGGTCTGCCATTAAAAAAACCTTGATGCTGCAAGAGATGAAAAGCGGGAATGAGCAAGCATGACAGATAAACGAGCAAAATGTGCCTGCTTCCATGTACATTAACAAAACTAGGTCCCAAGAAAACTTAGTTAAATTTGGCGATGTAGAAGCCTTTTGGGATAGACAAGACTAGAACTTGAGTCTCTTTATTGGGGAAACATGACCAAAGCGGCTAGGATAACTGACAAATGCAGAAGATGTAACATGACAATAGTGATAGACTTGAAGACTCCAATGCAAGAAACTGATGTAGATTTGAGACATGCAAATGAAATTGATTGCAAAATTTAACAAAAGAAATAAATTTCTCATAACTAATGTCAGTTACAAGTCCTAGCTTGCAGAGAAGAGAAGTGGAAGAAAAGACAAGTTCTTCGCCATTAAAAAAGATATTATTCAGGGTGATATGAAAGATAATCAAACAAAATTCAAGATCCCTCACTTCTTGCTATCTTTTATAATTCAACATGAATATAAGAAAACATGCTTATTTGTATATGTTTTTATCTTATTTTCCACTTTTTATGCCAGTAGAAATTGATGTTGCAGTTCATACTTTCTTTTTCAAAATATTTGTTAGTATATATGTTCACCCCTCTATGTTAGAATTCTGGGTCCATCCCACAATGAAGACATAGTTACAGCACCTGAGGTACTATCCAAATACCACTATCCACCATCTCGAGAGGGAATAGATGAAAATTCAGCCTGCTCGAGAGAGGGGGGGTTGGGGGGTGGTTTCAAACCATGAAGATGTGAACAACTTCATGTGGTGAGAAACGATAAGAAATGATGAGAAAGAGAACTCTTTTCTAACGTTTGGCTTATAAGTTGAGTGAGAAAGGATGAGAAGGGATGAGAAATGGTGAGAAAGAGAATGCTCTTACGCCTATTTCATTTTTCACCAAAAGTGGTGAGCTTTAGTGAGAAACAAGTTGATTGGCTGTACAACATTTATAAGACCAAGATTGCCTCTCACTCATATCTCTTTCTCATGATAGCAAGAAAAGACAATCATTTTTTTCTTTTCTGACAGTACAATCCAAACGGAGTGTTGTAACAACCTGATAGAATTAACCCTGTTCTTCTATGCTCGTTTTAATTGGTAATATTCACTGTCATCTTAATTGCAAATTTCAAGAACTGTTCCAATCCAATTTAGAGCTTTTCAAGAATAACAAACTTTATAGGCCACTAAAAACCTAATCTTCCCTTAGTCTTCACAAATGATCCATACTCACCACGAAATAAACAACACCAAACACATTTATCCGAAAACCCTATATACAGCGATTCAATTGAACTCGAAGTCGAACTCGATTCAATCAATTGAACTCGAATTACAACCCATAATTGATAAACAGCATAGAATACGATCAAAACAAGAACAAACAAATCGAGAGAAAGAAATTAGAAGTTACCTCCAATGAGAAAGTTAGGGTTTTTGCTTAGAGCGTTGGATAATTCATGAAGCTGCTGCAAGCAAAATGAAGATTCTCGAACCAAAATATGCATACATGTATGTATGTATATATTTATATATATACTATATATAAGTAAATGTAGTGTGTTCTTAAAATTATGGGAGTGAATTGAAGAAGCAAGCAATCATCGATTCTTTTAGATTTGAATCTTAATAATAACGAAATTACCATTAAACAGCTTTGAAAAGTAGTTTGTTTGTGCGCTTAAACCTGAAAATGTGTGTGACCCAGAAATTTCTAGCCCTTCGTTTTGTGGAAAATTCTATCATACATAAAAGTGGTTTTCATGTATGGTATATAAAAAGATATGGACCATTAGATTTGGATTGGATGAGTGTTAACTATTGGATAAGTAGGTAGTAAAATGAGGTAGAAAAAGTTTGGTGATTTTTTTAAAAAGTAGAGTAGTTTTAGTTAATTTTAAAATTAAAAAAATAATTATAACTTATCATTTATTATAAATATATTTAGGTCAAGTTTGGCATAACTTAAATAATACAAAAAGTCAAAAAGTCACTATCCTATTTAAGTCACATCATCTTATTTAAATCACATCACCTCTCTAACACATCACATCAAACTCAACCCAAACTCAACCCATATAAGCCAATAAGTCAAAAAGTGCACTTTTTTAGAACATCTCAAACTAACCCTTACTGTTGCTATTTATTTATTTACTATTTATTATGAATAAGTTTGTTATTTAAAATATTATCGGCTAAACAAGTCACCTTCATTTTTTTGAAAATTGTTTCATTTTTTGCATTTTAAATTAATTTTAAACACATAAAACCATTGATATTTAACAATTTTCCCTTCATATTTTGTCTTGATATGATTTGTAAAAATTAGAATATGACATTTAATATTAATTTATTAAAATTTGTTAAAATTTACTAATTATTTTAAAATAGTCATTATTGTGAAAAAATTAATTTTTGATATAATATTAAAAATAAATAAAAAAGAAAAAAATTATAAACAAAATATTTTTGAATTATAAGTTATTTAAAATTATTTTTAAAATAGTTACTTTTTTTCCTTTTTTTTTTTTTTTTTTACCTACAACTCCTCAAAAAATCTTTTAGAAACTTTTGTAAATTCATAATTTTGTTTTATCAATTGAATATTCATAATGAAATATTTTTTTTCTTCGTAATATTTTTTAATATCTAAAATATTGTAAAGCATAAATTGAAATAAAATAGCTTAGAAAGAACTCTCATTTGTCAATATATTTTAATGGTTATAAATGAATACATGTACAATAATTTCTTTCTTTTACCTACTACAGTTGAAAACATTAATTGCTATATAAAAATATAGTTAATTAGAAAAATATAGAAGAGCTCTTAATTCATTCACATACATAATGAACAAGATTGTGTGTTTTCATATTTTTTCACAAAGAATAAGTGAAAGAGGGTGATTTAGATTTTACAAATTGAAGATAATTTTCAATTAATAATTTGTTTCTGTCTCTATCTCTCTTTTATTTTAACATTATGTGATATTTTTAATTTATAAATTTTAATTTTTTGTTGGAAAATCATTTTACTAAGTTAAACAAAAAGTGGAGTTTTAAAATTTTAAGTCAAGTTTAATGAAATAATAAGTATAATTTCATTGATTAGTAACTTAAGTCTATTGAAGTGATGTCTTATTGATTGACAAGTCATGTTTAATTAAGTAGTAAGCAGAGTTTGATTAAGCGGTAGGTGAAGTATAATGAAGTAGCAAGTGTTCACTATACTCTACTTACTGTTCAATGAACTTCCACTTACTATTTTACTAGATTCTATTTACTACTCAATACTATTTCATTACACTTCACTTACTACTCAATTTTGATTTCAGTTACATTAAACTTCACTTACTACTCAATGAGTTTCCACTAACTATTTCATTACACTTAACTTACTACTCAATTTTGATTTCACTTACTACTCAATGAGTTTTCACTTGCTACTTAAGTATACTTTACTTACTATTCAATGAGTTTCCAATTATTATTTCATTACACTTCACTTACTACTCAATTTTGATTTCACTTACTACTCAATAAACTTCCATTTACTACTTCAGTAGACTCTATTTACTACTCAATGATCTTCCCCTAACTACTTCACTAGACCCCACTAACTACCCAATGTGCTTCCACTTATTATTTCATTACAGTTCACTTACTACTCAATTTTTATTTCACTTAATACTCAATGAGCTTCCACTTACTAGTTTACTAGACTATACTTTCTACTTAATGAGTTTTTACTTACTACTTAAGTAGTAAATGGAATTTAATTGAATAGTAAGTAAAATCTAATGAAGTAGTAAGTGAAAACTCATTAAATAATAATTACAATTTAATTGAGTAGTAAGTGAAGTCTAATGATAAGTGGAGTCTCATTAACTAATTGTAATATCATTTACCATTTGGTTTGATCGAATTAATTTATTATACTTACCACAGATAGAAGTCAATATTGGGATGATGATGATGATATTGACACTGGCAAGTACAACATTGGCAATCAAGAGAATATCGTTAGTTCTGATGATCTCCCAATCGAAAAAGATATTTAGTGTGGATCAATTAATTGAAAAAGATGTGTTTGAAATAACATTTGATTCGGTAGAAAATTAAGAAAATTTATATAATATGTATGCAAAGGTAAAAGGTTTTAGTATTCAAAAAGATCAGTTGTATAAGGACAATAATAATATGGTTATATCGAGGAGATTGGTTTGCTCAAAAGAAGGATATCAACAATAAGTACAATTTATTAAGATAAATGATTACCATTTACTACCACAATAGTACTATTCATTATGATTTTACTCACCATATTCATAACAACATAATGGCTTTCTATGAACACATAATTGTTATGATGACATTGTCACAACCAAAATTGAGTATTAAGTGAAGTGTAATGAAATAGTAAGTAGAAACTTGTACGGGAAAGAAATAAACCTTCTCGTATAATCCTGTTGACCAAGTCTACTCTCCTCCGTACGTCGTCGCTTTATCATCTGAAAACACAAACGTGAGCTAGCCGGCGGGTATGTGCCGGAAACCTCTCCGATGCCTAAGTCAGTAAACTTGACAAATAGACAAAAGCTCTGTATATTCAGAAAACAAAGTTGTGTGTTACCTCTCCAAAGGTGATGTTTGTGAGCTTTTATAGGTTTCGTGTGGCACAATCCTAGTAGGACTTATATTCCTCCATGCAGAGTCCTCCTAGGATTTAACCTCCTGAAGGATAATCCTTATCTTCCAACACCCCCCTCACTGCTTAAACCACGTGAGATGGTTATTACCATGGCCGGACTCCCACATGACTGAAGTAATCATGGCTATGCTGAGCCACAGAGTAAGCCGTACTATCCTTAGTTCGGTTCTTCCTTCTCCTCTTTATCTCGGTTCTCTCATGCACAAACCATGGTATGTTTAGACCGAGCTACCGAGTAGCAAGGTTCTGACCGTTCTAACCACAATACGCCATGACCGGACTAATTCTGAGACCGACCTAACTCCAAGTCGCTTCCGGACCGGAGTAACTTTACATTCCTCTCGAGCCGGAGTAATCTTTTACCTCTCTTGGGCCGGAGTAATTTTACGGCCTTTTTACCCAGCCCTTCGTACTTTGGACCATAATGTCCATCTCATAGCTCGGCCTAATTTTCACCAAAATTACCCTCTCAATTGCCCCTTAATTCCATCTGCACAACATGATTGGGATTACCTGTCTGTCAGCCAAGCTGAAGTTTTTAAGCCTTAGCAGCCGAGCTAAACAACCCTTTAGCCTTTCCAGCCGAGCTAAAACTCTTAAGCCTTTCAGTCGAGCTAATTTTACACCGGGCTCTGCTTGTCCGGTCAAAACGTCTCTTCAATCACAGCGACTGAATCGTTTCTCCTTCCCAGGACACGTGGCACGCTCTGATTGACAGAGGACGGCTGTCACGCCATCTTCGTACTTCGTGAAATTTGAACAGTCCCGCCCTTTTTCCTTTACCTAAAAACGAGCCTCTTCATTTTTGCCATATTTTGCAACTTCCCCCTCTCTGTGCCTCTACTACTTCTTCAATCTTCTGAGCTCGTGTTCCTCATTATTCTTCGTCTTTCTGAAAGAGTTTGTGAACTGCTGCTTTTTGCTTCCATCTTCAGCTCCTGCTTCCTCATCTGGTTAGTATTGTACATCTTACTTACTCTGTTTGTTTTCGTATTTGTTCCATGCGTTTTGTTTTCTGTGTTTTCTGCAAACACGTTTTTCCATTTTGCTTTGCTTTGTACTTCTATGGAAAAAACTTAACAGTAGAACATATGAGTATATGAAATACCCTGTAGAAAACAGGTTTTTGATCCAAAATCATGATGCAACCGAACTAGGATACTGTTTAAGCTAGGTAAAAAACTAGTCAGCTTATAACTGGACTAACACTTGTGTTTACACCAGTAGCCTTGAATAAGTCAAACCACTTCTTGATAGACCTTAGCCGAGGTAACCAACCGAACTAGGTTTGCACTATGCATTCCGAGATACCTGAACTCCAACCGATCTAGGCCTTTGGGGCTAAACCAGCTTTCTTAGTTTTTTAGATGGAACTCAGAAAGCTGCCCCTAGACGATCAACCGGTCAAACAGAACCTTTCCGTTAACCAAGTATCGACGTGCGCCGAGCCCGAACTAGCAAAGCCCTGCTCAAACCGAGCTACAAATCACCTGCAGAAACCGAGTTAGAACCTGTAGCATCCACATAGCCGAAGTAGGGCTCCTATTTTTTGTACTTCTATTTTGTAGCACGGTCCGAATGATGCTGTGCTTAACCCCTTTGTTTTCTACTTTGGCAGACTTAGGTTGCCCAGGCAGCTCCTCAATGGCGGAAGGGAGGGTGAGAGATCGGTAGTGTGAGTCGTCTGCACGTAAAACTTACATCTGTACGTCGGTAGCTATTCTCTCTCAAATTGTACGAGCA